ATCATTTGAGTTTTTTCTGATTTATTTTCCAATCCGTTCACATGCAGCTGTTTTCTCAAATCTATGGCTCACTCTCTCTCTGTCACCGATATTTTACTTTTCATTTTGCCATTGTTTAATAAGGATCTTTTTAATATAAACCCCAAATGAGGTCATGAGGCAGGAAGGTGGTCGGTAAAACCTACTTTATAAGAGGCATCTCCAAGGACTTGGCTTATTTTGCCCTCCGAGAAGGAGACTGAGCCCATTGTACAGGGGAGACCAGTCCTTCATTACCACAACGGGGAATTGTTTTCAGAGGCATAAAGGGCCAGGGATATCAGGAGAATTAGTTTTGGAGGCATCTCCTTTAGTTCCCCCCTTCCCTGGTGCCCCTCTTAAAATTCTCCTCAGAAGCTGACTGCGTGAGAGAGGGGGGCACATGGCTGTTCTTTGTGGGTTTAAGAGTCCAGAATTCCTACCCAGGTGAAGTCAGGATGAAATAAATAAGGACAAACTTAAAGCAGAAAGGAAGTCACAGAACAGGCAACAAGCAGTTTGCCAGGCTCCAAGACAGAGAGACCCTGCCTCCTTTTTAAGTGAAATGCCACGAACCCACATCTCACCCGGGTTAACACGACACACCGCAGACGTCACCTTCTCTGGTGACCATCCTTGATTTCCTCACATTCTCTCCCTGGACACATTAAGTGCTTCTATGTGCTGGCATTTGTCACACTGTTTCATATCTTTCCCACCCTGACTAAACTGGAGGAAGGAGCACTGGTGCTAACAGTTAGAGTAAAGCACTTGGCTGCTAACTAGATGGTCGGCGGTTCGAAACCACCTGCCGCTTTGTGGGAGAAAAAACCAGGTGATCTGCTCCAGTAAAGATTAAAGCTTAGGAAACCCCATGGGGCAGTTCTACCGTGTCCTGTAGGGTCACCGTGAGTCAGACTTGGCTCGATGGCATGCAGCAGCAGCAGCCGCCGATTGGAGGACCTGAAGGCAGGTATTCTCGGTGCTGAGCCCATGCTGTGGTTAGCTGCCGTCAAGTTGGCCCTACGTCTCGTGGTGACCCTGTGCACAACAGAATGGAATACTGCCCGGTCCTACGCCATCCCCATGATCAGATGAATTATGTTGTCATTCATAGGCTTTTCATTGACTGATTTTTGGAAGTAGATTGCCAAACCTTTCTTCATAGTCCATCTTAGAAAGCTCCACTGAAACCTGTTCAGCATCATAGCAGCATGAAAACCTCCACTGACAGATGGGTGGTGGCTGTGAATGAGGTGCATTGGCCAGGAATCGAACATGAGTCTCCTGCATGGAAGGTGAGAATTCTTCCGCTAAACCACCAGTGCCTCACTGAGCCCGTAACAGGCACTTAATAAATGCAGAAAGAAGCACGATTATGCAGGCATATGAGCACTGTGTCCTTTTTACAGCTCTTTGGATGAGCCTTTTGCATGGCTTTTTCCTCCTTGAGTGGGGGGGCCCCAGGGACACTCTGTTCAGGGTGCCTCGCACGTAGCTCTCACTGTACCCAATTTTGCTGAAGATTGGCCCTGCCTGAGGTCACTGTGGTTGGAGAAGCTTCTGGGCTCTGGCCAGACCAGATGTCAGATGTGGGAAGACAAAAGACCATTTGCTTTGCAATGTCCTAATTCCCTGGCGGCGTCGGTTACTGCTTCACTGCCATTGCACTGGGCCCAGAGCTACCCTACGTGGAACGAGGTTTCCAGAGAAGGAAACCAACATTTTGTTATTATCATCACTATCTGCAGAAGTATTTATTACTCGCCTGTCTACCTATAATTCTCTCCTCGTAGCCAAAGAGCCTGTGGTACGAAGACGTTAGAACATACTCAGAATGTAGAAAATGTTTCTTGGGTTAAACCTTGAGACTTCCCTCCCTTTGTCCCTTCATGCACAGTTCAGCCACGTGTTAAATCTGGAGTTTATTCTTCTCATCCTTCCTCCCCGCCCCACCTGCCAGCTCCTGTGGGTGACCAGGCATCTGTGACACACACTGGGGGTGGGAATCTTGACCACGAAAGTGGTTACCCACATTTCATTTATTACATTCTGAGAGCATCACGACCTTGATCATTTATGTTTCTAGGCTGTAATTGCACATTATTTTTTTCTATCAGCTATCAGGGGTTTCAGCTAGCAATGGAAACTTCATAGGTGTCTTGGCTCCTGACTGCTGGAACAATTTATCTTGATGATTAAGTGCTGAGCTGAGCTTATTTTTTTTTTTTTTTTAGGTTTTGAACATTTAATTTTTTTATCGTACTTTATTTTCTTTTTAATTGTACTTCTTTTTTTTTTTTAATTGTATTTCGGGTGAAGGCTTACAGAACAAATAGTTTCTCATGAAACAGTGGTACACATATTGTTTTATGACATTGCTAAACACCCCCACAACATGTCAACCCTCTAACTTCTCAACCTTTTTTTTTTGGCGAAAATACACATAGCCAAAGATACACCGTTTCAAAAATTTCTACATGCACAGTTCAGTGACATTGACTACGCTCTTCCAATTGTGCTGCTATTCTCACTTAAGATGAAGGCTTATAGA